GTCACAACAACACTCACCCACTCGCCACACTGCAGGTCACAACAACACACTCACCCACTCACCACACTGCAGGTCACAACAACACACTCACCCACTCACCACACTGCAGGTCTCAACAACACACTCACCCACTCACCACACTGCAGGTCACAACAACACTCACCCACTCACCACACTGCAGGTCACAACAACACACTCACCCACTCACCACACTGCAGGTCACATCAACACTCACAATCACTCACCCACTCACACACCACACACACCACACAAACCACACACACACACCACACATACTTGGCACACACCACACACACCTGCCACCCACCACACACCTACCAACCCCATATTAGTGCCCTACCTTGTTACAGACCAATCCAGACCTTATTGGTCACCCCGTGCCTTTATAAATCTCAACGTTCATCCTACAAAGTTCCATCACAAGGGAGAAACAGAAACAGACACAAACATTGTGTTGCCCGTATTGAAACGGCTGTACGCCGTATGGACCTGGAAACTCAATGTCCCCGTGCAAGAACACGGGGTAGTGAACCGTGACGGCTTCTGACAGCTATTAAACGGGGGGCTGAACCAACGCGGCGAGGCGGGCGAAAGGGGAGAATGCTGCGACGTGGGGGGGGGGGGGGGGGTCGACCGATTCCACCAAACTCGGAGTGAAAAGAGCCCCGCGGCTCGGGAGCCCAGACACGAGGTCCCAGTGGCGAGGACAATCTGACGACCCATCGAGCAAACTCCGCACAGAACAGACGGGGGGGGGGGGGGGGGGCTCCTGACGAACATTCTCGCCAGATGCTCGGCCGAATGTCGAATGCCCCCGTTGAGGTGTCGAGCGCGCCACTCACGGGGTTGACTTCGTATCGTGAAGCCGAAAGGTAACTTTAGATGGAGTGTTTGTTCGCTCTCGCACACTCTCTCTCTCCCCTTCCCTCGATCTCCTCACTCACTGCCCTATTACCTCCCTCTCACCCCACTCACTGCTTCCTCGTCTCCCTCTCACCCCACGCACCTCCCTCTCATCCCTCTCACCTCCCTCTATGACACCTCGCTCACTGCCCCCCACATCCTAAGTCACTCCACGCTCTCACCTCTCCCACTGCCCCTGCAGGGCGCTGTGATTGGGCCATCGTATGCGGAGGGGCACAGTGCGTTGTTTTAAAATAAATGTTTTTAAATATCCAGAGTTGGGGTTTGTTTTGAAGGACCTATTTGTCCTGACTAGTTGAGCTAAATATACCCCCAATGATAAATACGTGGCAACGCTATCATCACTGGAACTGCTGTAAGTTGCAACTAAATAACAGTGAGCTCAGTGGAAAGCCACTCCAGCGATGCACAAAACAGTGGAGTTTAGACCAGAGAGCAGCTTCTTGAAGATGCAACGTCTCCAACACGTGGCAAGTCGCATAAAGTGTTGACTCCTCTCGAGATGGCATGGAAAAGTCGCTCCCTTAAAGTGGGGGCCGACGTTGCATTGACGATGGAACGTGAGAAAGAGAGAGAGCTTGGCATCCCATCCCACTCACGTGGAGGCACACCACCACACTGGGAGGCACACACCAGCCTCACGCCGCCACCACGCGCGCGCACACCACTCCATGGGGAGACACCACACCATGAAGGCGTGAGTTGGTCTGTCTCGATCAGCACGGGTTGTTATGTGCGGTGTGATAGAAGTTCAACATAGATACGAGGAGTCACACCAAACTACGTTACAAAGCAGCACACCACAGACCACACACAGTAGATGAACACGCCACACGGGGAATCCAACAACCACGGAGGCACATTGCACCACGTGGGGGCACACCACACCACGTGGGAGCACACCACGTGGCGTGGAAACACACCACGTGGGGTCACACCACACCACGTGGCACCACACCACGTGGCGTGGAAACACACCACGTGGGGTCACACCACGTCACGTGGAAGCCATTGGCGCACACCTCAATCCATGGACCAGACGGAGGCTTGGCGCAGCTCAATGCTCAGGAATGCCGGGGGGGAGTGGGAAGGAATTGGGGGGGGGGGCGGGTGGAAGGATTCGTGGGGGGGTGGGCGTGAGGAGGGAGGGATGGGCGGGGTGAAAGAGCAGAAAGAGGGAGAGGAGAGTGTGGGATTCGAGGGAGGTGTGGAGGGATGGGGGTGGTGGCGGGTGTGTGAATGTGTGTGTGTGTGTACGTGGTGGCGGGTGTGTGAATGTGTGTGTGTATGTGGTGGCGGGTGTGTGAATGTGTGTGTGTACGTGGTGGAGGGTGGAGAATGGTGGTGTGTGTATGCACCACCAATAACAATGGAGAATATTTTAAACTGGTTCTGGGCCTCTCATAGGTCGACTCAGCCTTAAACGAGTACTTGGTGCGGCGTGTAAACATCAGCACTGGGGAGACAAAGGCGGCCGGGCGTGGTGTTGGCCACCCACCCCCACGCGTGTGTCGTGACCGCCTTCATAGGTGCTCGCTGAACGCACTTGCCCAAAAGTCTGTTCGGCTACACCGGACATCTTTGTCTTTGTACGTAGTGGTGGAAGAAGGAGGAGGAGGAGGCTTATGGATTTAGGAGGGGTCAGATGGTGGTGGAGGTGGGGTGTGGGATGGAGGAGAGAGGGTGTGTAGGTGGTGGTGCTGGAGGAGGAGGAGGGGTGGAGGAGAGAGGGTGTGTAGGTGGTGGTGCTGGAGGAGGAGGAGCCGCGAGCTCTCGGCGCGATGGACCCGTGAGCTACTAAGGCCCCAGCGGAGGACCGGGCCGGGTCGCATGGAGCTTCGTGAAGGGCGAGAGGAGCCATCATCATCATCATCATCGGACTTTCATCAACATCATCATCTACATGGGGACTAAATCATCATCATCGTCATCCACAATGGGCGTCCAGTGTCAGCACCATGAGCGCCCTCTTCATCGTCATGTCCTCCCCAAGCAGCCGTCGTCACGATCATCACCGAACCTCGTGACCGTCCTCACCCATCACCCAACATCATCAACATCACCGACCACCACCGTGATCGTCGTGGACACAAACACTTGCGCGGTGAAAACCTTCAACATCGCGCAGTCACTCGCTCGCTGCTGCCGTGCACACGCAACGCATTACGCACTCGTTTGTAGGCGCGCGTAAATCACACGAACCCCCCCCCCCAACACACGAACACACAGCCCTCTCCCCCCCCACACAGCTGGGATGACCCCCACGGGCCCGGGGTCAGCGTCAGCTGTTCTAGCGCCAGAGCACGCGGGCGGAAGCGCGGCTCAAACCCTGGCACCAATCGACCCCTCCTCCTCCTGCCATCCACGTACACATCACCATCACAGCACACACACACCACCATCATAGCACACACACACCACCATCATCATAGCATACACACACCACCATCATAGCACACACATATCACCATCATAGCACACACACACCACCATCATAGCACACACACACCACCATCATCATAGCATACACACACCACCATCATAGCACACACACATCACCATCATAGCACACACACACCACCATCATAGCACACACCACCATCATAGCATACACACACCACCATCATAGCACACACACATCACCATCATAGACACACACACCACCACCATAGCTTACACACACCACCATCATAGCACACACACACCACCACCATAACTTACACACACCACCATCATCATAGCATACACACCCCACCATCATAATAGCACACACACACCACCACCATAGCTTACACACACCACCATCATAGCCTTCACAGACTGTTGGGGCAAGTGCTGTTAGCGAGCACCTATGGAGGCCGGCACGGCACACGAGGGGGTGGGTGGCCGGCACCACGCCCGGCCGCCTTTGTCTCCCCGAGTGGGGATGTTTATCCATGGCACCAGGTCCTCATCGTCTAAGGCTGAGTGGACACAACAAGACTACCTCGATCCGTCAGTGGCGCCCGCCGTCTCACGCCACCCGCTTGGCCTGGTCCACGCATTAGCGCGCTCCCCCCACAAACACGGCGACACGCACAGGAGACCCCGAAAGTCACGCACAACAACAAGAAACCTCCTAGCTGTGAGGTCCCTGCCCGAAGGCCCTGGGGGAACACCGTCAACACGCCCGCTGGCCAGGCACTCGCCGCTGGCGCAACCATCGACCCGCATTGGGGCGTCACCCCGGCCCATGGCGGATTGGAAACTCAATCGGGCATTTCTTTAGAAAACTCATTGATAAAGAAATGAAACCCAAACTATGGACCCCACAGTAAGTCCACTGTAGTCTGCCCGTCGACGAGGGAGGAGGGACAGCAACACGACACAACTCCTCTCGTGGCGAGCACAGAACACCACTGCTACGAGCTCCTGAACATCCAGCTGCTACTGCTGCTGCTTCATGCGCAAGAAGAGACCAGCTGCGTCACAGGCCTTGCCCACCTCTCCCATCAACATCACCAGCCATGGTCTACCCACTGCCGGATGAAGGCTTTCCCAATCCGCAGCCATCTCTCTCACGGCCCCGTGATATACCGGGGAAAACCCCGACCTGGTTCCGGCAGGTGACCATCGCTCCGTCTCCTCGGCGCACGTCTTCTTGGGCGAGTGTGTGTTCTCTGATGGGATGTATGCTATGATGATGTGCCGACCTTCATAGGTGCTCGCCAACAGCACTTCCCCCACCCGTCTGTCAAGGTATGTGCAGGGGATCTTATCATTGTCCAATATTGATCGATGCCCAGATACGATCGATGGCTCCTTACCGGTTGACCACATGATGTAAGCAGACGACTCAGCCGTTGCTGCTGCCTCTGAGAAGGAATTGGAGACTCCGCTGCTGAACGTGGAGTGTGCCACCAAGAGGTGGGTGGGGGGGGGTGCCTTACCATCAGCCCCATTCACAAGCCCACACTGACCAGCGTGGTGAAGTATGGTCAAACAACCGCCACTACCGACAAAGCGCTGGCAGTCCTTCACCCAACGGCGCATTGACAAGGGGCTGCAGATTATAGAATCACTCTTGCACGTTTTAATGCACTGACGGAATATTAAAGGGCACATGTCACGCCGTAGCCATGAAACAAGAGCGTCCGCAGCGAGAGATCAGTGACAAGCAAAAGCAGAGCGGGCGTCTGGCAGGTACAGGCGGAATCCCCGAGCGGTGCGACGAATCACGCCGCTTGCGATCCGATGAACTCTCACGACTCAGCGATACAATGCAGACGCAAGTCACAGAAGTTGTGGCCATGAAATCAAAACTATGGAGCCCACGGTAAATCCACTGTCGTCTGCCCTTCAACGAAGGAGGAGGAGGAATCGCAGAACGACACAAACCCTGTCCTGAAGCCCTCCCGTCGTTCAAGCATTCCATCCAATCATTTATTTTAAAACAAACGCGGCGGTCGTAGCGGCCTCCGGCGGCTGCTGGGGCGACGTGCAACCCAGGTCGGAACGCGGCAGGGCCTGCGGAATGGCTGCAGCACGAGAGACGCGAAACGCCGAGGAATTCAAGAAGGCGAGCGCCACCGTGCGTGCGAATCCGTAGCGTCGCGCTCATCCCGTGGCCGCGCACGCGGTCGTCACCGCACATCATCATCCGGGGATTCTCATTGGCGGTGGCGGCGGTGGCGTCACAGTCGGCGCCATCGGCATCACTTCTCGTAGACGACGTTGCCCTGAGTGATCACGTGACTGATGATGTCGCCGTGGCAGCCCAGCTGGTAGATGATGTGCTCCCACCTGACGGGCATTGGCACGGAGGACACGCAGACGCGCATGAGCAGACACGCACGCAGGACTACACACGCACGCACGTAGCCCAAGACAAAGATCCCCGCTGTGGTCTCCAAAAGGCTGTTGGGTCAGGGCATGGAGACTGGTCACGGCGTACGACGGGGTGGTGTGGCCAGTAGCATGCGCAGCCGCCTTTGTCTCCCGAGTGGTGAGGTTTACACACCGCATCAGGTACTCAGAATCAGAATCTTTATTTATAGATGTCTAGAAGAGGCTGAGTCGACCTAGGGGAGGCTCAGTTTCGGTTCAGATAACTGTCACTGGTGTTCAAACTCAGGTTGGCAGGTTCGTAGCGCAGCACGCTTACCGCTGCACACGACGCGCACACGCACGCGCTCGCACGTGCCCCACGTAGCCGCGTACCTGGGCTCGGCGATGATGACCATGTCTCCCTGCTTGCCTGGCTCCAGGGAGCCGTGTCGCTCCTCGCAGCCCAGGGCGTAGGCCGCGTTGATGGTGGCGGCCACCAGCGCCTCCGGGAGCGACATGCGCAGGCGTACGCACGCCAAGTTCATCACCACCGGCTGCGCACACACACACACACAGGTGCACAAAGACAAAGACCCCCCCACCATATAGCCTCTAATAGACTGTTAGGGCAAGTGCTATTAGCGAGCATTAGCAGTACGCGCATACACACGCACGCACGGCAGCTTCACTACCGCACACGTACACGTACACAATTTCAGCCTTACCCTGACACGTGACAACACAGAAACGGTGACACACAAGCGCCGGGCGCGTTACCATGGCGATGCAGTAAGCGTTGGGGTTGAAGTCGCTCCCCAGCGCGACGATGACTCCCGCGTCGATCATGGCCCTCGCTCGCGGCTCTTTCAGCCTGGGGCGGAGGTCAAAGGGCGAGCGACAGAGTCAAGGGGGCAACTCGGGGTCAAATGTGTCATGACGTGTATTACCAGGTAAGGCCCAATTAGCTATAGAGCTCTTTTTCAGAAGCGACCTGACATCAAATGACAGCTCAACGAAGTGGCTTATCACGGGGAAAGTGAAAGCAGTAGCCAAATACTCTAAACGCGTGTTTCTAAATGTGGAGGGAAAACCCGGAGGACCCGGAGAAAAATCCACGTGACCACGGGGAGAACACGCAAACTCCAAATATAGAGCAGGCGTCCAATTCAAGATTGGACCTACGACCTCCTGTATACCAGGCAAGGTAATTAGCGTCTCGCCACTGTGGCACGGCTAGTCTCACTTCCCCGGGTTACGACCTGGAGATGCTCGGCGCAGTTTCAAGCGCTGCTAAATCCGGCGGTGAGAATCGCTCTTCAACTTAACTGCAAGAGACAGCTGAAAATTAGCTTTGCATGTTAAACGCTCGTACACGCGACGATTGGGTTTGATTGGCTGTGTCGGTTTGGTGGAGAGTTTCACGATGCAAATATGGCCGCATCATGACGTGCCCTCACCCAAAAGAATCTATGAACAAGCACGATACCGCCTGCGAACACCTACGAGTTAAGTTACGTGGAAAGGGGCGCTCACTCGTATTCATGACCCCACCTAACCTCGGTGACCCCACGTGACCTCGGTGACCCATCTGACCTCAGTACGTATGCGGTGGAGGGCAGCAGCACGGCAGCGCAGCGTGCCGTCGCCATGGCCGCGATGCCCTCGTCGCTCGTCTCCTCCAGGTGGCTCACGGCGCGAGCGCCCAACTCAGCGGCCAGCTGCAACGGCACGGCAACACGCGGCTTGCTGATAAGCACCACGGTTGCCAAGCAGCGTATCGTAACGTGCCCTGGGCCCCGCACCCTCCATACGGACGGCCCTTCGCGGTGGCACAGGCAGGCGAGCTTGCAGTCGACCCCGCCGGCGACGGGAAACCAGCGGAGGGAGCGGAGGGCTCGCGGCGACTGAAGATGACGCGGGGCAACCTGTGGGTCGAAGCGGACGGGGCGGCTCACCTCGCCGGCGCCCATGTCGGTGAACTCGTCGCCGTGGAAGTTGAGCAGGAAGCCGAGGTCGCGCGCGGCGCGCAGCACGGAGCGGGCGGCGTCCCGCTCGAACACGCCGCGCTCCAGGAACACGTCGGCCAGCTCCACGCGCAGCGAGCCGTCCTCCACGAGGCGCCGCACCGCCGGCAGATGCTCGCGCACCACCTCCTCCGTGTACCCGTCCGCATCGCGCCCTCTGGCGGGCGCGCCACGGGGGTCACGGGGGGTTGAGAGATACGGGGTCACGGGGGGTTGAGAGATACGGGGTCACGGGGGGTTGAGAGATACGGGGTCACGGGGGGTTGAGGGATACGGGGTCACGGGGGGTTGAGAGATACGGGGTCACGGGGGGTTGAGGGATACGGGGTCACGGGGGGTTGAGAGATACGGGGTCACGGGGGGTTGAGAGATACGGGGTCACGGGGGGTTGAGGGATACGGGGTCACGGGGGGTTGAGGGATACGGGGTCACGGGGGGTTGAGGGATACGGGGTCACGGGGGGTTGAGGGATACGGGGTCACGGGGGGCACGCAGGAACGGGGAAGGCGCGGGCGCTCTCGCCCGCCACCTCCTCCGCACGCCCTGCCGCGTCGCGCTCTCTCGCGGGGACAGTTGGACGCGCGCGGAGAGGACGCGGGGACGCCGCGGGCGTCCGCGACTCGCCTGGGCACGGCGTGCGCGCCGCAGTAGGAGCTGACGATCCTGAGCGGCACCAGCGCGCGCGCCCGCTCCAGCGTGCGCAGCATGCGCAGCTCGCTGGCGAGCTCCAGGCCGTAGCCGCTCTTGGCCTCCACGACCGTGGTGCCGGCGCGGAGGGCGCGGCGCAGGCGCTCGCACAGCGACGCCAGCAGCTGCGGCTCCCCGGCGGCGCGCGTGCTCTCCACCGTCGAGTGGATGCCCCCGCCCGCACGGTGCACGTCCAGGTACGAGGCTCCCGCCAACTGGGGGGGGGGGGGGGGGGGGGGGGGGGTAGCGGGGGGGGGTGAGGGCAGGAGGGAGAAAGAGGTGAGAGAGTGGGAGGGAGTGTGGAGAGGACGGCAAGAGAACGAGAGGGAAGAAGGTGGAGGGAGCAGTCTGACAGGGTGCAGAGATGAGGGAGGCGAGAGGGAGGAGGGTGAAAGAGGTGAGGCTGTTAGAGAGGTGATAGAGTGGATGGGAGAGAGAGAGGGGTGAGAGGGTGAGTGATGGGAAGGTGAGCAGTGAGAGGGTGAGCGGTAAAGTGGTGAGAGAGAGAGGTGAAAGGGAGAGTGACGGGGTGGGTGACCGCTGAGAGGGTCAGCTGTGAAACGGTGAGCATTGAGGAAGCTGAGTGGTAAAATGGTGGCAGGCAAAGGGTGAGTGTTTATAGGGTGAACAACACACTGGGTGAGTGTTGGCAGAGAGAGTGAGTGAGTGAGCGCGTGACCGTGCCAATGCCGAGAGGGTGAGCATCGCGGTGAGCAGTGGGCGCGTCGCTCACCTTCATGGCGAACTCGTGCACGCGGTCTCCCGCCCACACCGGGTGAGTGTGCGCGTCCACCAGACCTGGGCTCACCGGGTGAGGGAGCGTGATGGGACCGGGTCACAAAGAGGGCAGGGGTTCGTGAATCAGTGGGGGAGATGATTGAGAGGGAAGCTGTGAGTGAGAAGAGGGAGCTGCGAGGAGGGAGCTGGGGGAGGGAGCTGGGGGAGGGAGCTGAGGGAGGGAGGGGGCTGGGGGAGGGAGGGAGCTGGGGGAGGCGGGAGCTGGGCACCTGGGATCACGCTGTGTCCCTGCGCGTCGATGATCTGGTCGAAGGAGCAGCCCTCGAACTGCGCGGCGATCTCCTCCGCCGGCCCCACCGCCACCACGTCCCCATCTCTGCACGCCGCACGGCACCACAAACTCTCTTTGCTGAAGCCCTCTAATCATGGCCAGCAGGAGACCTCGACTTCGGCCTCTTAGCTGTGGAACTTCCTGCTGCTGCTGCTGCCACACGCAAGGATGGCGTAGAGAGAATTAACTCGTTTCGAGGGACGGTGCCAATTCCGCAGGAGTCTCAGCCGGGGGCTTGTGGCGAGCCGGCTGCCACAGCCATCCCTCTGCTCCAGTAACCGAGGGATTTCGTGTAAGTCCACAAGTCAACATTTGCTCCTCTGCAGCCCCCATTGTTTGGAATTCCCTGTCCCCTGCCACCAGTGCTGTTGCCTCCCTGCCCCCACCCATTCAAATCTCGGCTCAAGATGTAAATGTGTTAAGTCTGCCTGTTATAGATGCACACTCACACAGAGACCCAGAGACTCACACAGAGATCCATAGACTCACAGAGAGACCCAGAGACTTATCGAGACACACAGACTCACGCCTCTTTTTCTCTATAAAATGATGTTAGAATGCGTTCAGTGATATAAATCCACACGACTGTATCATTGCGTCGAACCGCGTTGGGCTGGGGACGGTGTTTAATCTCCACGATCGTGGTGACCAGCCTGCAACCCGACAGAATCAGATTGACTCATGCTGGAGGAATCCGATGAGCGACAAAGCTCTTCTTCACAGATCGTCTCCCACTGGGGGGCCCGGCCAAGTGTTCATTGCCACGTGACCCTGTCGATCCCAATTGTGACGACCACGACCGGCACCGGCCCGGCGTGACACCAACACCACCACTACCACCACCACCCCCCCACCCCACCACCACCCCCCCCCCCCTACCACCTCCACCACCACCACCCCACCACCAACATCACCACCCCACCACTAACACCACCACCACCACCCCCACCACTACCACCACAGTCTCACCGCACCTGCCGACCACCACGCTGCCGTTCGGGACGATGGCCACGTCTGCCATGTCCGCCCCGGCCAGGTAGCGCTGCCCGCCCCGGCAGACCACCACCACTTGCGCCGCTCCCCGCACCAGCAGCCGCTGGGCCACCCGCACCGCCACGCCGCCGCCGCCGTCGCTCATGATGCCGCCGTGCTGAGAGTGAGCGACGTCCCGGTGGCGAATGTTGAAGTGAGTGCCCGCGGGTCACCGGCCCTGGGAATCATTAACCCTGGTTTGGTCGCAGTTGAGAAGGCGGTGATGGGCACGTCCCTCCGCCTGTGCCAATCAGGCAGAACGCCGATACATACAAAGAGCCCCCCCCTGTGCTGCTCCCCCTGTGCTGCTCTGTGCTGCTCTCCCTGTGCTGCTCCCTGTGCTGCTCCCTGTGCTGCTCCCTGTGCTGCTCCCTGTGCTGCTCCCTGTGCTGCTCCCTGTGCTGCCCCCTGTGCTGCTCTGTGCTGCTCCCTGTGCTGCTCCCTGTGCTGCTCCTTGTGCTGCCCCCTGTGCTGCTCCCTGTGCTGCCCCCTGTGCTGCTCCCTGTGCTGCTCCCTGTGCTGCTCCCTGTGCTGCTCTCTGTGCTGCTCCCTGTGCTGCTCGCTCAGCGCTTCTTCTGCACACTGCACGGAACCGCGTCGGACGCTCTCGCTGTGTCGAGTGGCTGCCGTGACCTTTGGGGCGACTCTGGGGGTTGATGTTGTGCTCAGGGACAGTGCTCATTGGCACGAGCGTCATGTGCAATCTGTCGAGATTAAAACATCCTCATCATGGTCCCATGATGTAAAGTGCAATCCCTTGTTATCCACTCTTACCTCTCTATTGCTGCACTATGAAGAAGGCGCATTGCCAGAAATGTAACAATTTATAGTTATTAAGGCCAGTGTTATTAACTACCGTGTGGACTATGGTAGCTTAGTGTTTGATACGATGGTCCAATGTTGGTTCAGCCAATGGACTCTACGGCACAGACATCCAGATTCTCTGCTGAGGAGGTGTGAAGAGTGACCCAGAGCCTGAGACCGGCTAAAGCCAAGCAAATTCACTGCAGGCTGCCCTAGACGACATCATTACAATTGTCTGGGCAGCAGGATCGGTTCTTTTAAGAATGCAAGGATGCCCTGGTGATTGCAGCAACTACATCAACCTCTTCAGTGCGTGGCCGGGAGAGATCCTGGCAAATCTTATTCAATATCACCGCCTTGCCAGGCATGCCAAGGAGAAGCTCATGGAGAGACATTGCCGTTTCAGGCTGGGGCGGTCCTGCACGGGCACCCTGTTTTCTGTCCATCGGCTCCAGCAGGTGTTGGGAATTTCAAGGAGACCTCCATCTCTGCTTTAAGACCTACGATCCGAGTGTTACACGCCTAAACCTCGACTTGTGTCATTCTCACCAAACACAGACATTGCCCACGGACTGCAGGCCGAACTCAACAATGCAGCATATTTCGTCTCAAGTTTCTCAAGGCATATATTTATTACGCTTTACAAATTGTTCACATTTTTTCATCTCACGTGCTTCACCGATCCAATCACCTCCATACGATTGCTAAACCCCCCAAAAAACTATGAAAATAATAAAACCCCATTAAGGCGCTGCGACGTACGGAGTGGTATCTCCGTCCGCCCCGAATGTCCGTTCGTAACGGGGGCCACCGTTCACTCGGGGCTCCGGCAACGGCGCAGAATGCATTGGTGGGTGCTGCTGGTCCCGGCAGAGTCACCATAGCCACGCGCGGCAGGCAAGGCAGCAGAACCAGATAAGGCCAGTGAGGTGGGGGAGGTGTGTGGGGGGAGGGCGGAGCGAGACAGGGGGATGAAAGAGATGCGGGGGAGGTCGAGGGAGATGGGGAGAGGGCGGGAACCAGGGGGAGACCGGTGGAGGAAGGGAGAGGGAGGTTTGGCAACCTGTGAACCCCCACTCATAATGTGGGAGCAGTATTTGAGATGTGAGAGCAGCAGGGGTGGGGGGATGGTGGGGGAGGAGGGGGTAGGGGGGGTTCACATGTTGGGTGCGAGCCAGTTGAGGAACTTCATGGCAACCTCGAACCCCAGGAAGCACGCCTGCAGGGAAACACACAGCGTCAGGACGCTTCTCACCGACACCACAAAACACGTTGTCTTCACTCATTTGTCCTCTGTCCCGTCGCGAAACAAAGAGTCCACTGAGAATTCTCCCAGTGCAGTGCGGCAACCCGCCTGCTAGAGAGAATGGCCCACTGAACAAGACGTCGCAGACCTACTTCTGAGATCCCGTCAGGTGACCCCTTCCCACACACCCTGCTGCTACAGAGAGATTTGTTGCAGGGCGGGTAAAAGCAGCCTCTACATTTTTTTTATTCTCAGAATGAGTGTCTAAAGTAGAATGAAAACCGAAATGATAGATTTGACCTTAAAATCGCAACACAACCCATTTAATAATTACGGTTGAGCAGTTACAACCCAGATTCTCGCCCCCGATCTCCATCGGTGCCAGCTAGGCAACGCTCCGACCTCTGTGCCATCTGGGCACCTGCCACCAAGCGCATTTACAAAGGCAGCCATACTGGCACGAGTTACATTTAAATACAGGCCACACCCACCCACGCATGTGACCCACAGCAGGGGTTGGCGGATCACGCACACGTTTTTTTAACTACAAAACACTCGAGCTTGTTGCTGGGCTGTAAAGTGGCCAGGAGATAGATTTAAATCCATCTGTGCGGAGAGATTTGAGAGTACTACGAGCCCCTTGTTTTTCCACGTGCTCAGAGCTACAAGTTCAGTTCCTGAAGATGCTCCCAGCACGTGGTGTGAAACGTCAGACATCGTGCCAAACGCCTTGCGGTACAACCCGTCGCCTTATCCACCACACTGTGTTCAACCACCGCACTGCAGATCACAACACTCCTCTTTCTGCTTCTTCCCACGCACTGCTAAATATGCAATTCCCTCCTCCCACAATCTATTTTCTCTTATAATAATGCCCTTGCTGAATTCAAGAAGCGTGTTACACGCTCATCGACGACAGCTTTGATAATAGCGCTGGTCGTTCGTTGCTAGTCACTTGGCGTTTTGGACTTTTGGGTTTGTGCTTAGCAACTGTGATGTAAATAATACACAATGGAGAGCTGCTTCTTCTTTCGTACGGCTGATGTAGATGCAGAGCAACAACTAAAATTCCACATTCAGGTGGTCAAGCCAAATAACCGCGTGTGTATTGCCGTGATGTCTCCTTCGTATTTGTGTATCGGGCACTGCATTGTTGCCATTATCATGGGAAACGTGGCGGAGACGTGGTGGTGACTTGAGGACTGACATGAGGGTTAGCGGTGGGCGTCATGTGCGGCGCGGGTCTCACCGCATTGGCTGGGAATGCTCTCAGCATGACGGCCGTGAATCCCTTGTAGAGAGAGAGGACTCCCTCCTCCCGCACCAACTCCCTGAGCACGTCACGGAACCCGTGCGGGTACTTCCCCTCCGGTGCTGCGCAGCAACAACAACAACAACAGCCGCCATTCACCACTTACACTCCTACTTTTCCACTGGCACATCCGAGCCGAGTCAGCGCAGGGACCACTGGCTATTTGCCACACTGAGCCGGGAACCAAGAAGACATCTGAATCTGGCCCGGGACTATGCAGGGCCAGGGACAGGGCTGCTGATGACGCGTTTATTTTGTGCGACGTCAGCGGCACAACTCCGCTTCTGCAGTGGAAGAACAAGCGTGCGTGTCGTCACAATTCGCACGGGGCTGGACTCGGTACGGCCATGGCACGGCTTGGTTATACCACGGCGTTTGTGCCAGGCTCGGGTGCACTTCAGAGCCACAGCAACAACAATCGCAAGTCACCACTGAGCAACGATGTCACAACGGCACTTGTGCCAGGCCAAACGCACTTTAAGGCCATCATGTGAAGTTTCGGAGGCTTGCCGGCAGAGGTTAACAGACCGAGTTGACTGTTGTACACACACGCACATTGTGTCTACACATTCAGGGCACCTACAGTGAGGCAGTGAAGGAGAGTGAGTGTAGGGTCTCAAGAGGAAGTGACGGGGAGAGGGAGGGTGTCAGAGAGTGAGGCAGGTAACTAAGACACGAGAGAGGGAGTGACGGAGAGAGGGAGTGAAGAAATGAGCGAGTGGGCAACACAATGATTGGTGACCGAGTGTGGACCGAGTATCCGGATGGGTTGTACCGGTTTGGAAGCGAGACTTGAGGGTGTCAGGCGGGATCGCCACCGCCCAGTTGAAAATTCCAGCCATGCCTCCCGCAAACAGGATCTTAGGGACGCTCAGGTCAGACACACTGCACACACACGCACACAGAGAGATTCCGCATTCAGCCCGAGGGCAATCTCTGTCAGCAGGCTAAGTTACAGTACCGACGGGTGTGTTGAGTTTTAAGATTCAACAGAGCAGTGCAGCGGTGAGCATACTGCGCGACAGTGGGGTGCGGGCACGAGTGCGGGAGCCATGCCCACTGACCTGCCCCCCTCCGGCGTGAGGACGTTCTTGAGCCACTCGTACGTCATGAAATACATCCCGCTGGCTGGGACATCTGTACACGCGCAAACGCGCAAACGCACCAAGGTTAAAAATATTCACGTGCGAGACAACCCCACCACCACTGTACTCCCGATTCCCCAGTTAGAGAGGAAAGCCCTAACTGCCCAGGAGAGGGCGCTGTAGACGCCGTCCCTTGCAGCCTCGTGCGGGCAGCGATCTGGTGCCTGTCCCGAGAAATGTGGCTTTTGACCCAGAGCCCAAGGGTACAGGTGAGGGGTTAATCTCATTCCGTCAGGTTTGACGAAGCCCAGTCATTATCATTCCACTGTACAGATGGTGCATCCTTGTTATTATCATTGCTTGTTTACCCAGGAAAGTCTCACCGAGTCCCAAGACTCATTCTCAGAAGGTTGCTGCCATTCTTTTTGCGGTGGAAGGGTGGAGGGGGGTGATGTTGTCGCTGTGCGTGATCCAGTTTTTGAGCACTGGGATGTGTGGGCAATACCGGTGACAGTATTTGTTTTGTTTAGCCAAAGGGGAGAACATTGGAGAACCTGGAGGAAACCCATGCAGAACAGGGAGAGAACAAATACAACTCCACACAGATAGACACCAGGGTTGGGAATCAAACCTAGCGCATCTTGCTGTGGAGCACAAGCGTTACCACTGCCCCACCCTGGTGCCCAGCCTCACTCTGTTGAGGTGAAGGTGGCGGCGTGGTTTAGGTGTACAGCTTTAATTTCTCACTGTGACTCACTTTGTTCCATCACATTGGTTAATTTTTTTGGATTAGGATTAACAAATAGCATACATAAATGGTAGATCACCTATTCTTACACAATTTGCGTAAGAATAGGCGAGCACGTCCCATTTTAACACACGCTGTTTTGAGGAGCAGCTGCATTTAAACACGAAATATTAACCCTCAAGGTGAACGGAAAATCGTCCTGGCTGCGACGTCACGTCGACGATGACTGCTCCCACAAGTCGGTCGGTGGTTGAGTATCTGCGTGCGGCCGACGAGATTGGCGCGCGCGCCGCGAGCGCGTCACACAGCGGCGCACCGGCCACGTGACGCACGTGAAGCCCGGCCCGCAGCAGCTGCTGCTGGCGGCTGGTGCCAAGTTGCCCGTGGCCTTCCCCTTCTCCCACCACAGCCACAGTCACGTGTGTGACCGGCTGGCAGCAGGAATGGGAACCTGGGCTCCATTTCAGCCGGGTTTGACCGGGTCAGTGACCGGGATCATATGGCGGGTGACGTTTGCAGTCCTGTTTCAGAAGTTCGTGTTTCAAGCCCCCCGGCCGCCCTGATTAATATTGCTGCTGTGTTTGAACCGTAAATATTACGCGCTGTCTGCATCGCAGTGAGCATCTTAGATCCAATTAAGTTATTTGAAAGGGAGTATAATGTGTGTGCTGGTGTTCATGGCCTAAAAATGTGAAACAAAAACTACCGCAAATTAGTGGCCAGTGCTGTGTCACCTTGTAGGAGGGAGACCCCAGCCTAAAAAAAAAAATACCACTGGAAATTCGCATTATTGAGACGAGATGTGATGACGTAAGGCGATTTAGCATTATGGGGCAAATGTAAGCACCAAACAAATGCAAATCTTACTTCAGCACCCGGAAGCACCACGTTCAGTACAGGTCACGTGCCACCGTCCGGTCTACCAGCAACCCGGGAATAAATTCGGTGAGAAATTAATCCGTAAACAAACAAAGATCGCACCGCGCATGAGTGTGAGGGCGGTGCCCTTGTAGACGCCGCGGATGCCGGACTCGCGGTAGATCTGCTTGACGCAGTCCATGGGGCCCGCGTACTTAATGCCGCCCGTGTTGGCCTGCACCTGCAGGAGGCACTTGATGCGCTCGCCGGGCGCCATGATGACCGTGGTGAACACGCCGGACAGCATGCCGGCCTTGAAGAGCTGGATGTACCTGTGGGTCGGCACCGCGGGCACCGTTTAGCCTCCGTCCGGACTACCGCGAGAACTGTTGCACACACAGCCACGGCGAGCCGGTAACTACACCGCAGTGGGTTCGTGAATCGGATATGCAATGAATAGCCACTACGACCAGCACGCACACCGCACTCACTGCAATCACACACACACACCAGAGCCACTGCTAGCCTCCAACTACAATACCCGATGGCTTAGGTATGAGAAACGCGACACACGTGCACACTTGCCACAACCATCAGAGCCACCGTCAGCTACACGTTTAAGGCCTGTGCATTACAAATGCTAGAAACTGCCAATACATCATGCGTGCATGCACCGCACTTTCCACAACCACCGCCAACCTCAAACTACACTCCTGAGGGCTTGGAAACAATAACCAAGACACAACCGCTACACGCAACACAGCGCATCACCACACAAGATGACATCACGCTATCTCGTGCAACAAAGACGGACACAATGAAACACAACCACAACATACCACCAGACAAAACCGAAACACCGCCCCACACTACGAAACACCACTGCCACACTCGCAACCGGCAAACACAAGCCACAGAGATAGATTCCGTACACGGCCTTCACTCAACTACGCACGTCAGAGAGTCCTCGGGGTGCGTCTGCTGAAACTTCTTGCCGAGGCCGAATCCAAAGAAGCAAACGGCGAACATGGGCGCCACCCCCACCAGCGGCGCCGCCATGCCCTTGTAGAGCCCCCGCAGGCCCTGGCGAGACAAGCGACGGACGAGACGAGGTGGGACCAACACAAGCGGCCTGTGGTATCTGTAGGGACTGCAGGCGAAGGCCATTCACATCCATGTCTTGCCTCGTAAAGGCCACGATTCACCAAGGTAATTGAATGCGTGTTCACACGACGTGTTTTCCCAATAACACGGTTCTTCTAAAAGGGAACACTTTTTGCACAACGCGGAACGCGCCCGTTATAACGAGGTTCATGAGCGGTCATTGACGAACTACTTTCTTGAGCTACGCGGCCGAGCGGTACAGTGATACAGTACGCGGAACGATACAGTCACGTGGCGGCGTACCCTCAGCCAAGTTTTTTGTCCCACCAGGAGATGACTGCAGGCTGATTTTACCGTGCAGCAATTCCTCGCTTAACGTGACACAGTTCAGGAACGCATCTACTACCGCATAAAAATAGTAATGACTGTATATATGTTTATTTGAAAGATAACCCATACTTTACAATATTTACAATCACCAATTGATCTGGCTGTTCTCAACAAAAATGTCCTTTCTGGGCCTTTGTGTTTTGGGTTATAAAACTGCGACCTTTAACTCTCAGGAGATGGAATTTTTGGAAAATTAAGTGCAGAACCAAATTTAGCGTGACCTTTCTTTATGCGTGCAAGCCACTTACCTAGCCGAGCCCATAAACGTCCCACACCCGAGATCCCGGTTTTAATCACAGACGGCGGAAACTCGCATTCAAACCTCGGACCTCAGCAGTGCCAGCTCAGCACTCTGACCTCTGAGCTGCATCGGCCACCTCACAACACTCCGTACGTTGAACTCCTTTGGCACCGTACATAGCCAGCCAACCGTGCAAATCGTAGGTGCGGGCAGATACGGAGCGAGCTGGACGCACGCACCTCTTTGGCGAGGGTCTTGCGGCAGCAGTCGAAGGTGCCGGCATAGAGGGGAGACTCGCCGGGTAGCGGTCGGGGCTGGGTCTGGAGGCGAACCTGTGGGGTCACGCACAGCGCCCGCACGGACACCCACATTAGTGACAGCAGGTCGCTGGCAGTAGCCCAAGTCAAGTGAGGTTCATGTTATTGATAGCGAGTCAGTGGATTCGTCTAAAAGGAGCACAACACATGTTATTTTGAGCAAAAATAACTGCACTGTAATGAAACAGTCGTACATTAAATTTCACAATAAGGACAGTGAGGTACAACACCAACGAGGTAAAACAATCACAACAACCACACCACAATCATCACACAAACAACCACACCAGTCATCACACAAACAACCACACCACAATCATCACACAAACAACCACACGACATAAGACTGCTGTAACGCCTAACCACAATACTGCATCATACCACTCCACCCAACACCCTTAACCTTTGCCCTACAGCTGTAACCATACAACAGTAACACTGACCCAGCCCCAACCAAGTCCATATAACCCTAAATCCTAATGCGATAGCCCAAGTCCCCGTGACTGATAACACTGTGACCAAACTCCCAGGGCCGGTGGATGCAGAATCGGACTTCCAAATAAACGTTACGGGGAGAGAGGCAAACGCATCAACACACGCAGACCTGAGCCTCAGTTAATACAATAATCACGGCTCACCTTTAAGTTTTAAAATGCCAGGATTATTTTGTTTGGCCTGGCAGGAGAACTCAAAAAGGCCAGGATGGATTTTGTCAATTTTTGCAAGTGACACCTGGGCCACCATAATGGCAAAATGACAAAGGCAAAGCAAATAAAGCAGAGCAGTGACGTGAATAGAAATCAGCACAAAAGCAACTACACTACGCGTATCGTGCACATTTTAAAAGATTGTAACAAAGTAAAATATAACGTTACCCTGCAGTGAAAATCTGCTGAATGCAATGACATGTGCCTGCTGGTTTTTTTCACTAACATTTTCACGTATAAATGTGGTTTGCGGTCCATTTCACACAGTGGTTAAAGGACACGTGAAAAATACGAGTAGGTTTTACCCTTTCCGGCAATAAAACAGGAGGTGTTAAGATGTTCAAACACCAAATATGAACCTTTAGCAAGGGATCAAGTCCGCATCAACCACACGTACTTGTGGTGACCATGCAGACAGACTCGATAATGTGGCATTGACTTTGAGACTGTTAGGCCTACACCAGAGACAGCCTTCTTGACACACGTCTCAAAGGCAATGCGTAGATTATTAATGATCAGAGCACGTCTGTTTGCATGTCCACCGCAAGTACGTGCGGTTTGTGTAGTCTTCTATTCCTTGCCGAAGCGATCTGTTTGGTGTTTGAACGTCTGAACACCCGGGTCCCTATTGTAACTTTGATACTGGCAGCAGCAGCAGCACATGTTCTCGTGCAGGCCACGCGTGGGCGCCAGAGGGCTGTGAGATGAGAGTGAGATGAGAGTGAGGGGCCGGAGTCAGCCGTAGCCCGTGAGGCCCTAGCACATTAAACCCCCCTTGTCTCGTGTGCTGCATGTCTACACAGCACACACACACAGCACAAACACAGCACACACACACAGCACAGCACACAACACACACAGCACACACATCACACACGCAGCACACACACACCATAGCGCACACACCACACAGTACGCACACACACACAGCGCGCGCGCACACAGGGCACACAGCACACACACCACACACACACAGCACACACACCACACACACACACAGCACACACACACAGCACACACACACAGCACAGTCACAGCACACACACACAGCACAGTCACACCACACACACACACGTGCGTTGTGTGCACGTGGCGCCGTGTTGAAGGGCGGCAGATGATTCCGCTTGTGGCGATGAACGCCGCGCGAGGGGCAAGAGGAGCTCCCCGCGGGGGCGAAACACGGGGACGCGATTCGCCATCACCAACCAGGCCTCTCTACCCCGTCAGGGTATCTCCTGGACTCCTAAACCCCTAAACCCCTGCACCCCTGCACATCACCACCACCACCACCCCAAGCTACACCACCTGCATGGCAACTTACACCACGCTGCATCTGCAGGACCCCTCCACATATCCCCTTGCTACCCCCCTGCACCCTCCCTGGCAATCCCCTGCAAAACCCCTTCGCGCCCCGATAACCTGCACATCCCCTACAACCCCACGTCCCTTTACCCCCTCGCCTTCCCCTATCCCCCTGACCCCATAGACCCCGCTATGACCCCTAGACCCCGCTGTGACCCCTAGACCCCGCTGTGACCCCTAGACCCCGGGGGGGGGGGTACCTTGATGGTGTCGAGGGGGTGCCCGGTGAACACGAGGCAGACGCCGCCGAAGCCGCCGGCGAAGAAGTTCTTCACGGGGCTGATTCGCTGCTGTTCGGCCATGGCAAGAGGAGAGAGACAACAGGGGGGGACAGCAGACGAGAGGAGAGAGAGGAGACACACACAGAGGAGAGAGACAGAGGAGAGAGACAGAGGAGACACACACAGGGGAGAGAGACAGCGGCAAGGAGGCAAGGCCGGCACTGTCCCCCCTCACCTTTGCCCCAGTTAAGGAGGCGGAGGCGGCGGCGATGGCTCCTCCTCCTCCCCCTGCTGCTGCCTCCTCCTCCTTCCCCTCCTCCCCCCCGAGGCGGAGAAAGAGTCGCCTCCTCCTCCTCCTCGATGTGTCCGCCTCGTCTGCACTTTCCTCACCTCGTCTGACGTCATTACAACACCCGTCCCTCACCTCTGACTAGCACAGTGTCCTCCTGCGGAGGGAGCTGGTAGGAACGTCGGGCTGCTCGGTCAATGGCCTGCAGGGTCAACGGCGGCGTGGTGTATTCCGCACATATGCCCGACTGTGAGGGCGGGCACAAGCCGGCGTGAGTAGGTTCAACGTTGAGTTTTATAAGGGCACCACGGGGTGACCAGCCACTCCCCACCCAGCCCCTTTCATCCTTATCTCACCTCATTCAACTCACCATTTCCGTCACCTCTCATCTTATCCACCTTACCTTGTAACCTCCATCGTCTAATACCATCACATTCACCATCACTTTCACCATCACATTCACCATCACATTTACCATCACTTTCACCTCATCTCACCTCCCTACCTGACCGCACTATCTCCCATACCTCATTGCACCTCATCTCCCGGTGTATCTAACCTCAACATCTTAACTTGCCTAATGTTGTTTCCCTCATCTTATTTCCCTCTTTAAACATCACCTTATATCCCTTACTATCACCCCCATGCTTCACCTCACGTACTCATCTCATTTTACCTCGAATTACCATTTCCATAAACGCCTCTCATATTCATATCCCCATCTTCCATCACCTCGATCCTCTCGTATCCGTCTCTGCTCACTTTTCTCCCCTCATCATCCTCTCCCTTCCCCTCCTTGTGCCCTCACACTCCCACCCCTCCTCCTGCAGTCACCTCTATCCCTTCCCTACTATAGAGCAGCGTTAGTCCGACGGTTCCAACCATACGCCAATGCCAGCCCAACGGTGGTGGTCACCTCACCACCCCAGTTGCTAATGTAGCCGGTATGGGCTTAATGTGATGAATCACACGGAAAGTTTAATCAATGGGGTTAATGGTGATATTTGGAGCATTCCTAGCAGCGATTTCAGCCGCACCACCTCTAAATAACAAAAAGGCTCAGTCCCATTTACACGCACCTTTACATCATACGCACCTAGTCTACACAACAAAGGCTCATTCCTAACAGCGTGCTTCAGCCGCACCGAACCTCACAAAATAATATTCAGGGCCTACCTTGGCTCTTCCCACCCTCAACCAGCATATATACAAGGACTGTTTTCTTGGAATTTCTCTCACTTGATACAGCTATCGTGCTGTGACGGTCCCACCTGAAAACGGAAGCTAAACATTTTTACCTACGTGACTTTACCGAAAAAACCTAAGAATATGAATATTAATGATGACCATGGATTGGACCTATATACTCACGTGACTGCATAGTAGGTCACGTTCACCAGTGGAGTGATTAATTTCATGGCACAGGGCATCTATTCAGAATCGCATGGACGCTGGACAGGCATTGAGCAGTGAGTGGTTGTGTAACGTGGGGTCGATTGGTGTGCATCTAGTCATAATTACTCAGAAGAGCACTTTGAAATAAAGAGTTGCCGTTCCACAACCCTCTGGTGTCCCTCAGTGGCGGAGTCACTCGATCCTCAAGAGGGCGGCAGAACAACGCAGAGTATCTACTCATCGCCTCCGAACTCGTCCGTTATTGTCTCTATTAACCGGCCTGTCCCCTCGTTACGATCACTGGTAGGAGTGGGATAAGGCGAGCCGGTTACACTCGCAACGTCACACACCAGGGCAGACCGAACGCAGGCACACGCATCTCAATGCCACTGCGTCTCCACCACCTCGCACACAAACCGACCGGCTTGCAAAAGAACCTCACACACAGCAGCAATAGCAACAACGGCTAGACATTTGCCATCCAACCCGTTTATTCTATGTCAACAACACGTGAGAATGAACAAAAAATAAAACCAGGGCCCCCGCGTTTATGCTCGCCAAACACACGCAATTATAAACTCTCAGATACAAAAATAAGTGACGATGCTGAAACGTCTATCTAAACGAATCGACGCGCAACTATCTGATGCGGGCGGTGCATGCGTCGCGCTCGTGAGCTGTGTATTGGGGCCCGGAGGATTTCCGCATTGGCAGAAGGTGGAGGGCGGCTGTGGTGACGCCGAGCCAGGAGGCCTCAGTGGTAGTGGGACCTTGTCGGCCGACCTCGTCGTGTCGTCTGTAGACGACTCACTGGTTCAGCGCGAGGAGCATATCGTCCTCCAGGTCAGAGCTGTCGTCGTCGGCTGGAAAGGACGGGAGAGATTTAGGAACCGGCATCCAGAGGAGGATAATACGAAACGGAGTGGTGACATCGACAAACAGAATCGCATGCATCACAACAAACACCATCGCACACGTAGCACCATCACAACAAACACCATCACAACAAACAACATCGCACACGTAGCACCATCACAACAAACACCATCACAACAAACACCATAGCACATGCAGCACCATCACAACAAACACCATCGCACACGCAGCACCATCACAACAAACACCATCGCACACGCAGTAGCAGTACGTCACAAAAACCATCACAATCATCAGACGCAACAAGCACCACCAGGTGACTCCCCGGGTGCGTGCCGCAGCCGCGTGGTACTCACAGTCGTTGCTGTCGTCGCTCATCACGAGCTCCACTTCGTCATCCTCTCCATCCTCGTCATCATCTTCATCATCGGCCCCATCCCCTTCGGAGAGTCCCATCTCCTCCCCGTCCTCATTCTCCCTGCGCGTCTCCCCCACCTCCTCGTCCCCGTCCACCCCATCGCCCGCCTCCGCCCCCTCCTCGTCTTCGTCGTCGAGCTCAGAGTCGAACTCGTCCAGATCCAGCGCGTCGTCCTCGGAGTCATCCTCATCCTCCTCCTCATCCTCCTGGAAAACCACGGCCAAGGCTCAGCCACAACCACATACATACAAACATATACAAACACACAAAGATCTCTCACGTAGCCTTTAGAGGACAGCTGGGGCAAGCGTCGTTCGCAAGCACCGGTGAAGGCCAACACAGCACACGGGGGGGGGGGGGGGGATGATGTGCCAATGCCATGCCCGGCCACCTGTGGCGATGGTTAAACACCACACCAGGTACTCGCTTTTGAGGATGAGTCGACCTAGGGGATGCCCAGCACCAGTTCAGATAATCGTTACCGATGTTGGCCTTCAGCGGGCAACGAACCCGGGTTTATGGGCTCGCTCTCCGCAAACAACAGCAACCACTGTTCGCCACTCAGTGGTGGTGACGTCACCACAGCGCTTGTGCCAGGCTAGGTGCACTATAAGGCCACGTAAAGTGTTGAAGACTCGCGGACAGGTCACAGGATAAACCCAGCTGCCATGCGTTGACTGACCCAGGTGTTTTGTGGCCCCAGACCCAGGTGCTACAAACATAGACAAAGATTCCCCCTAATAACTTTAATATACTTTTTCGGCAAGTGCCGTTAGCGAGCACCTATGAAGGCCGGCACGGCACACGACAAACATCCACACACATACAAACACGCAATACCACACACAACCACGAATATGAGAAACACACACATATAGCCAAACAGCCACAACCACACGCGCACTCACAAATCCACATAGCCACAACAGCACACACAACAGCATAGCCAAAAGCACCTCCGATTAGCACTGTGCAAAAGAAGTTCAACATACATACATGTCAAAGTGAAAGTGTATATTTTGCCTGCAATAAAGCTGCTCGTGACCATGTTATTGTCTGACTATGTCGTTGCATTTAAGATTGCATGCCACAAGGGGGAAATAAAGTTGCATTTGGATGTGCAAACAGAGCAACTTTGTTCACACAGCTCGTGAAATGTGTTGCTGTTGCACGAGTAAGATAGGCTCTGTTTGGCTGGACTGGGTCATATGCTCAACATTTAAACCTGGTCCAACATGGCTGAATAGTTTATGCATATGGAAGCACAGGGATGTTTGATAATAAAACTCAATTTGCCTTAATTGCTTCTCTAAAATGCCTGGGTCTATTTTAACTATAGGCCGAGCAGCCACCTCTCCTTGCCTAAATGCCCTGCAGGGCTCTGTGGGCCGAGCCGCCCAGGCGAGTGGGGAGGGTGGGGGGGTCGGGCCTCCCAGTCTCGATCCCACACTGACATGAGAGTTTCATGGCTCAACCATGCAACCGTGTTGCAAAACAAAAGCAACGGATCTTCAGTGTTTAATACAGGCGTTGCTCAACATATGAAGAAACGAATTAAGTGCAGGAAAGTTGCACAATCTATAGGCAAACAAGATAAACACAACCACCCAGCTATAACAAAACAAAACGACACACACACACAGCTGCAACAAAACACAACCACAAAGCTACAACCACAGACACACACCAACAACCACACATTCAAATCTACACAACCAAACAGCTACAACCACAGGAAACACACCAATAACCACACATTCCAACGCGACAGATACATCTACCACAACCTTACCCATGCACCAACAACCACAGGAGCCACAACCACACACCAACAAGGCCAAAGCCAAACAGCCACCCCCCAACCGCACGGCCGCAACCGTAGACACGTCTCCGCCACGGTGCCGAGTCGTGGCGCCACTGCCACTCGCGAACAGAGGACCCCACCTGCTCCTCTTCCTCCTCCTCTTCCTCGGCCAGCCTCTGCCTGCCCACCTCGTAGAGGCGGCACACGCTGTCCATGGACAGGCTGTCCAGCCCTTTCTGGTTCTGTCGTCAGCGAGAGACACGCGCGAGCACGTTACTCATCCCCGTCGTCGTCGTGTCGTCGATGCCATCATCACCACCAAAACAAGACAAAGATTCACTCCGTATAGCCTGAACAGACTGTTGGGGCCATGCTCCGAGCGAGCACCTATGAAGGCCGGCACGGCACACGAGGGGGTGGACGGCCAGCACTCCCGTCCAGTCGCCGTTGTCTTCCCAGTGCCGATGTTTATTACACACCGCAACAGGTACTCATTT